GTGGAGCAGTTATTGCTGGATTTGACAAGACATTCATTGATAAAGTCTGCGAGAATTATCCTGGTATGTTAAGAAACATTTGTAGCTACATATCGATGCTTATTTTACTCTACTTTAAAAGAATGCAAAAAGATTTTTAACGACTGGATGTTTTTTGCTTTGACTTCTTTAGGTCGTGCTTCAGCGACACCCTCTATAGATATGTTTATCACCCTTTTATCACTTGGTGCTGAAGGATATGAAAATTTATTGAAAGAGCGCAAGGTACCATCTCATAAACATTTTCCAACAAATCCAGTGTTTGACAATAATCAGTGATGATACAACCATTTAATTACTCGGGGTTCCTGTGGAACGCCGAGTATTAATTTCGGCGTTATTTTTTTTTGCATTCATCGCCAAATCGCGGCCAGACTAGCCAGGCGTTCCTAGCCTGTCTTGTCCCAGCTTCTTCGTCGATGGGCTTATGGTATTTCTTCTTCTCAAAAAATACGCTCAAATCACTCACAAATCCACACGCGGTATAGCCACACTAAAGGATATGTCGACCGTTTTCGGAATGGGCTTTTTGAAAAATACCGCGAATAAATCAAGCTTATTGTGACTTAAGTTATGATACGCAAGCCATTTTAATCTATCCAAAGCCGACCAAAGCCAGTCATAAACTACAGGCCTTCTATCTTAAAAGCTACTGATATTCAAAGCTCTAACTACTATAAAAGAACAATAGACTCAAGTGCCGATTGTCAACAAAACTGTACAGGTGAAATAACGAAGAATTGCAAACAGAGGATCAGTGAATGGTATTTGCGTTAGACCAAATCCGGGACCAAATGTCTGTCAAAGTAAGAACAATTCTTGGTCAACAATAATAATATTAATACATTTTCTTTTTTTACTATTTTCAATCCAAGGAAGGATTTTTAGTTTTACTTTATATTTGATAATTAAAGTTTTTATTATTCTTTGCAATAATTGCGGTAAAATTTATCAAATCAAAATTATATAAGTCTTAATTATTATGCTATCAACTGGACTGAGAATTTATTATATTTTTTGGTCACGGCAAGAATAAATGAAACTACATATTCTATATTGTATCATTAAACCAAGAGACTACACTAGAAAGAACCCCGAGTACACGCTGACAAGCGTCTTGTTATTACAAAATTGAAGATAAGATCACAGAGTTTTGAGGTCTTTTTGACTCTATTATCAAGCATTAGTTGAAAACTGGTCTATTAGTAGAAGAAAAAAATAATATAACAGTCATTTGAGAATCTTTGTTTTTTTTATTCAAAGGAAATTTACAGCTATTTATCTGAAGGCTTGTCAAAGACTGCTTCAAGACATGGAGAAAAGTTGCTGAATACTAGACATAATCCTATATCTCTAGGTAGATGAGTATCTATCCTTTTTGTGATTATTGCTCTTATTTCCTTCAGCTCTTCCCACTCTTCCTGCTCATTTACTTTTCGTTTCCATTTTGATAGTCTTCTCATCTTCCATAGATGAGTACAATTGTTTTTAAATTGCCGCGCATTTTTGAATCGGTCAGCAATTATTGCTAACTCTAATCTGAGTTGTGTTRTGTTCTTATTTTACAGCGGTCTCACTTCATAGTGAACGCGGTTTGTCGTCAGACTCGAGCGGAGCAACACAACTTGGCTCCATGCTGTTTACTCGTTGTGTTTCTGGTGCGAGGTATGTCATGATGTTGTTGTTGTTGTTGTTGTTGTTAGAAGCATTGTTGATTCTGCTGCTGCTGTTATTGTTGTTCAAATTTAGTAACCCAGGGGCGTATCCAGGGGGGTCACAGGGTGCCCGTACCCCCCTTCCAAAGCCAAAAAAGCGCAAAAACCATAGTTTGATATGACATCATATTGAAGTCATATAAGGTCAGAGTGACAATTTGGTATGGAAGGACCCCTCCAATGAAAATCCTGGCTACGCCCCTGTTACCAAAACGATATTTACTTTATGCAGGGTTGTCGCCCCAGGGAATACCAAGGTAATAAACGATTACATGTTCACAAACTGGGGATCKCATTCAAACCATTATCCATTTGCCTACTTGACTGCTGCCGCAGCCATTGGAATGACGAAAGAAGACGTCGATTCGTTTTTACATCGATTGGATAAATGCCTCGGTAAATGCAGCTTCAATGGTYTTGCACAACCCATGAACGACTTGAATCTCGACAAAAAAGAAGCTGACGAGGAAACACCGGCGACGAGTAGTTAATAGGTAGGTAGACGAAGATGAGAAGTATAGTTTAGTTAATAGATTGTAATGAAAAATGATTCTGTGCGCTTGTTTGCAGTGTCATGATGTAATTAAGTGCTCTTTCCTTTACTTATGCCATTTACGGGCCGACCGTCGTACAGAGTATCGCAAGGAAGGGCAGCCGCACCGTAGAGATTCAAGTAGACTGGAAACTAACGTCTACGTACAAGGGCATGGCATTACTAAAAAGCGCCAAGTAAAACAACAGCTAGACAATTGCCAATCTCTCTGTTAAAAAGGACGTCTTATTGTTGTCCATTGAGAGAATTGGCGGCAAAGTAATTTAATGGCAAATACATGCTAACAAATACAGTAAGGAACCAAAAAATAAATATGAATTTTATGTGCATAAAGCAAAAAATAGATCGATCAAAGCAAATACTAAAAATAAAACAAAGAAAAAAGCAGAACTAGGCCAGAGAAGTCTTTTAGACTGTTTCAAATTTAAGACCAAATAGGCTCTTGAGCAAAAACTTAATTCTAGTATCTCTCCTTCTTTTGACATGTATGTACACGCGGGGAGACGACTGGCACGAGTCAGGTCTAGCAGATTTTTATATTCTGGGTTATAAGCGGAGAATTGCTATATTTGAATTGATTTTTGAATTATATTTATATTAAAGTAAGCAATAAAATTGTAATAATTGTGTGAAATGTAGAACAATTAAAGAAAGTTCATCACTTCATTTAGGGGCTCTGACGTTTTGTAATCTGTAGGCCATGGGCACCCATTTAGGAACAAGRCTATTTGGGCCCACCCTATCGTATGATACTGGACCAACCCTGTCATATGATGTCCCTGACAGGCGCGCACTTGCGGAAAGCGACGTTTTTCGACGACTAGTCCATCTTGTGGGACTATAACCTCTAGAAAATGGCGTTAACGTGGATACTGATTTCCCAAGCTTTCTACGTGCGCCTTCGTTCGTTTTAATGCTCATCTGCGGTAATACTGAAGGTCGTTGATACAATAATTGGCTTGGYAAATGATAGTTCTGCGCTTTTTGTCGTGACTTCTCTTCTGCAAAGCCAGCATTATTAAGACATCTAGTAGAAATTACATCTTGTGATAGGCGTTGATCTTTCAGGTTCTTAGTATTTTCACTAGTTCTTCTTGACATGCTTGAAGACAATGTAAGCCTAGAAGAAGACCTTCGTAACGCTTGCAAGTCCTCTAGTCTTTTTGTTAGTTTTTGTTGCTCTCTCTCCTTCCAACGTAYCCATGTTTTGTGCTCTCTGTCTAAGTGCTGTACGTTTTTTACGTGTGTTTGTCCTAGGTACAGATTAGAAGCGTACAGYTTMCCAACAGTCCATCTTGATTGGAGAATGTAYGCTTCYTAGTGAGAATCACGGCATGGTGAACGTATGTTTCTTGTRGGAGTTACGACGARGTCGCTGCTCTTTTTATCCACGGCTTTCTTGTTCATATGCTCACTTTGCGTCTCAAATMTTTACCCAGTTTAGATTTAGAYGGAAATTGAAGTGTTAACTTACTGGGAAAACGAAAAAAGAAACAGTTAATTTAATAAATCTTATAAAATTTGTTTTTACATCGCCAGGACACCCCTTACTATCAGAAAATATACCTATAAATTATACGTGAGGTTTTAGAACATTTTTTAAGTTTTTAATACGAATGCCTCAGTGTTCATTACTTCTATAATGCGAATATCTTATAATACTAACAGCATTCATAACAATCTATGTACCTCTTATTAACGACCACTTACATTTTATGGTTAGAAAACACCTCCATATATTACGAACACCTCAGCATTGAGAACACCGGTACGAAAGGTACACCTGGAGGCTCCATTCAAACGCCTCACGAGGTTTCTAAAAAATTGATTTACGTACAAAATTGTGCAAATTTCTTAAAAACCTCAGTTTGCAATTATATTTTATAATAATTGACCAATTGGTAACTTCTGTTAACCGAATATTACCTTTTTTGATTCACGTTTATTAAAATGCGAAATATGTTATGATTGCGTGCACAAAAACGAGGGCAAGATGTTGCAGTACAAGAAAGTAAAGAAGATAAGGCGCCCCAACCAAAGTGGAGAGATTCAAATGTAGTCTTTTAGATTGTACAAGAACAACAGATATTGTTTATATTGACTTACTTTAATCTACTGGTATCAAATTGAGAGTGTAGCAGTTTGCCAACAATAGGCAACTTTCATTTGATGAAGCAATCCCAGTACGTCTTTTCAGCAAAAGACCAGTMCAGTAAAGATGTAAGCTTGTCTGATTGTTACGGGAATGTAACTGTAGACACGGGTTGTAATCCTGTACAAATTTGTACTACTGCCAACCTTCTGGCACGAATATACAATTTTTCTGCCTCAAAACTCGGAAATAGAAAGTCAAACTTCGTTYTCTGAAGTTACCTTCTAGTTTGCTCAGATGTTCAGTCAATTGAATGTATCGGCTTGTGATCACATTACTTCGACTGACAAGAGATAAGCTCCAATTTAACAAAGACTTACACGGCTTTGGACTTAATAACTCAGCTAACATACGGCTTTATTTGGCGTGTCTTGTCASTCACTGGCTTTTCACCAAGGATCTTAAGAGAGAAGACATGTTGTGACGTCACTATATGTCATACTGCAGTACGAAATTGTAAAACTGTTTGAATTTATGCCTCTAAAATTAAGATTATTACCGTAGACGAGCATAAGTAAGATTAGATATAGTAAGGTTGATTGATATGAAAAATTGACAATTAATCATAAATAACCTTTGCGTGAGTTTTCTTGAATGATTTATCTGCTTGAGTCTTTTGAACAAATTTTCATTCTAAGATTAAGCTTAAAAGCTTGTATTATGTCTAAAGCGTATCCTTAGAAATACGTAAGGTAAATTCCAAAGTCAATAAAATKTGTTTATTGAATAGCCAAGGTTTAAACTATGACAATGAAAAATTTGCAACAATTTATCAATAAACATCTGAAACATACTTCTGATACTTTCAATCATTTTTTGGACATATTCAATTTCTGTTACTAAGGAACAAGATTTATATTACTAGTGAATTTCCAAGGTAGAAATGTAATTTGTTAAACGATTGCAGATGGTTGCAATCTGTCTGTTAATGGTTATTGATTTCGTACAGCATTGAAATGACGATTAATCAACCAATCAGGAGTGCACATTAAGTAAGAAAAAGATGGTCACATTCGGCGCAGTAGGCCTCTATGAAACATGTCATAGAATGCTTCTGATAGGTRACTTTAATAGCTATTTGTGATTGGATCAAACACAAATGATCATATAGGAGGTAGAGATCTGCCAATGGTCTTCGGAACCCATTTTGCTTGAGTAAGAAGTGATAACGGCTCATCTTCTTCGCTTCTTTGACGCTCAATGTCTAACTGTCGYTCAAGAACGTCAGGATTGGGTAACGAACCCCTGCGACGTTCGGGATTGAATCCCGCGGGTGCGAGAAATCCCGAGGGACTTTGTGACTTATTGATCGACGATGATTGGTCAAGTTTTGTWATGAAAAAAGAGTCATCATCTGAAAGGTTTTCTGTGGATTTTGTYCGACTACTTGGTCGAATTGCGGGTAAATGAAGCTTGTTTGTCTTTCCATCACTCTTTCCTAACGTAGAAAGATCTTCACACGACTTCGACATCGTCTTCAAATTATTCTTATTAACTTCTAAGTGCGACAACTGACTTAAATTCTGTGATGATTTTGAAAGGTACGAAGAACGACTCAGATCCGAATTAGCAKCGAGTAAACTCGAAGATCCCGACCTTGGCCGAGGTGGTTCGGGCTGCAATCGTAAATTGCTCGGTACTGCTGATGTTGATTGGGGTCGCAGCCGACGMCCGCTTCGGTTTTCTTTCGCTACTAGARACTGCTTCATTTTATCTTCAAGYAGTTGCTCTTGCTTTTCTTGCAACTTTTGCATCCTTTTAACCATCTCTTTRTGCTCTTTAGTCATYGAACTYAGAATAACCATTTTCTGTCGATTCAAATCTTTGACCTCCTTTGCGTGTTTTTGGCTCCAGTAGATGTTCGATGCGTAAAGATTCTCGATGTCGGAGCGCGATTGTAACAGGAATGACTCGTAAAAAGCGTGTTCTGCTGGAGAGCGGTTGTGCTCTGTAATGTCCTCTTTGGTTAGTTTCTCACTTGTTGAGAGAYGTTGATCKGGCTGCGAGTTCATTGTGCCTGGAGATAACAAACAATAGATTAAAAATAATGGTAATGATAACAACATTAAACAACAATCTTTTTGTAGGAACGGTCTACTCCTAAGTCAAGAATGACATGATATATGTAAAAATAATCCATCTTAAAAACGCAACTTAAGAAGCCTTTTTTTTGCGCGAATAATGCTTTGTTGAGTGTTGTGTTTAGGAAGAACCTGCTAAGTGTTTACCAACGTTGAAGACGCAGGACAAACAGGTTTTCCTGCGTCGGCGTGAAAAGCGGCTTTGTTGCGTTTTTGGCAAGCACGTGTTGCGTTTTCTTCCGTCTTTACAACCCAACACAACAAAGGTCTCCTGCGTAAAAAAAATGGTTGTTGCGTTTTTAGCAAGGGCGTGTTGCGTATTTCAGTTTCGTAAAGGCCGATTTAGACGACACAACTTTCCCCTAAACGCCTCGCATCGTGAGGCTGTTAAGCAATTGTTTAAAATCCCTACGACAGTTGTAGCCATGTCGTAAGAATGACTTACGCAGGTTGCATGAGATGGTTGTAAGCAAAAGTTGTCGTCTAAATCGGCCTTAAAGATACAACACGGAAACGGTCTTCTGCGTAATTCTGCGTAAGTGTGCACGTGTGGTTTAATTGAAAGCATCTTAGTGTAAACATCCTCTAATACGTTCTTGAGGCCGTCTTTACACAAGTATCACCATGACAGCAGTCAAGTTGAGCAAACAACTTTGAAACGCGAACACATTCCACAGTAACGCGCACCTTGAAATACACATGGACGCAATTCTGAACTTAAGAAAAATCCTTAGGAACGTTATTTCCAATAAAACTCATTCATTAATTTGAAGATCATAGATATAGCGGCTATGCTGTTTTTATAACAGCGAAGACAGGCTTTTCTCACACTGTAAGTGTGTACTGATTTTTACAGCAAACTAAAACTGCTTTAAATGCTAAGTGAAGTCTACCTGAACATAAAACATGACTGATTTGCGCAACGCTAAATTGRCTTTACTATTACTTATTATTTCTTTCAATTACCAGATCTGAGTTGTAAGTCATAAAAACGCGCAGTTTAAGCAGTTTTTAAGATTAAAATCTTGTACATGTACATGGTGAGCCCGGTATTCATTAAAAGTTCATCAATTGAAGCGGAAGGGAAGCGTTTTACACGTGAAAAATATATCGCTTTCGTTTTATTCTTTATTCCCTAGCGTTTTCCTTGCGAGAACAGGCATATTATGGTACAGCAGTAAAYAGAAGTGATGATTTCGACACAAACCGTTTGTGCTGGAGGTGTTAGAGGTGTAGCATCAGATTTACGTATTTTAAACGCTTCTTATMATTCATCATCAGTCGTGTCTGTGTTTGTTGCTATCACAGCAAAAGATTACTGACTTACCTAATTCTGTTCTCACTTTGTATCTCAGTCTGTTAAAACAGTCTGTTAAAACAGTGATAAAGTGTGCTCTATTTGGCCCACCAGCAAAAGTCCTCAATAACCTAGTAGACTAGTAGCGAGAGTGTCCGCGCTGCAAAGTTTCTTGAACTATTCAACGTTTCTGTCAATGTAACCAACGTACTTTGTAGTACTCACGGTTGACAGTAGTTTAGAATCAAKTTATTTGTTTTCTCTTTTGTTTGTAATTAATGGTTGTAAATTAACTCTGAATACGTACCAGTCACAATTATGCCCCGGCTAAAATTCTTCTCTCAGGGGTAGTGGTGGGGAGTCTACTACTGAAAATAGTGGACGTTTTTACGCGTAAGTGCGTTTTCCGCATGTACCGCTACGTTATATTGCGTGTCTAATGGTCGTTTGCGTACGTTGCAGTTTGTCTCTGACACTTGCATTATCTGATTGCATAATGATCTTGAGATCTATAGGTGCACTAAAAAAAAACACTTCCTACTAACCTCCACATCAACTATCGGTCACCATTCTGATCTCTTGCATCAGTTCTTAGCGTCAGTCAAGTTCTCAACACTCCTATAGGATGCTAGGAAGACTATAGCACCCTGCCGGTAAAAATTGCGTGATTGCGCATTATGTGGGCCATACTTATTGAACTGCGGTGGCATTTCATTTAAGGCTTGTACTGTCCTGCATAGTCAAATCCCCTCCCAAGCGCCATATGACTTGTGTTTTAGTCGGTACAATTCGTGTGAGACCAGCAGTAAAACCTCTTGTATTTGAAAATCAACTAATTAGGTTTTGCGCATCCTTTCATCCTGTTCATGGTCAAATTTATTTATTCAAAAAACTGATAATGATACTAATGAGATACACGGTATTTTTTCATTGTACAATTAAAATATCTATTTATTTAGATATTTGCTTCCTCTTCAGTTGTTACCATATTTTGGACGTCAATAACATGGAAAAGAAGAAAATGAAAAGAAAAAAGAAAAAAAGAGGGAAACATGTATGAAAATGAACAGAAAAGTTCACATATGACCCCATTYAAACCATATTCCTGGACCCTTAACACTTGAAACACTATTTATAATTCGCATACGCTAACTCATTTAAGGTCAAAACGAGACGGAGTGTTTATCCTTTCATTCCAAGTTTTCCATTTACTTTTGGACCATGCAGCTTGCGAAGAAATATCAATATTTCATTCTTAAAAGGAACACTTAATAAATTTATCGTTTGCATTGAATGATAAGATCAATAAACTTATCAACTTTTTGTTTCCTTTTTCAAAGGTTTTTTAGAACTTGAAGCTCCTTTTTTAGTCTTATTTGTGACTGTAACGACAGCAGCAGTCTTYGGCCTRGTCTTTTCAGAATCARCYGGCTGCCCACTGAAGCTGCTGGAGACCGGTCGTCTATCCATTCCGCRAAGCGATGTTGAAGGTCGAAGCATTTCATTGGATACACATCGCCTSATGGCGAAACTGTTTGGCATGGGGCTCAAACGAGAGCTTTTTGGTGGCGTCWGSGATTTTGTTTTCAATGCTTGRTGWATGTTTTCAAAGGGACTCTTCGTGTCATCATAATGGCCTGTGTAACTTGAGCGAACTTTGCGCAGGTCATGGAGAAGCTCTTTCTTTTGCGTAGTGATTTCATATCGCTCGCGACGCTGTTTCTGTGTCAAACTGGCTGCCTGGCGATAGTGACGATGGTCTTCCATTGTGACATTGCCAAGTAGTTGCTTCTTGTCCAGGTTGGCGAGCAGTAAAGCATGTTGTCGATCTATCTCCTTCTTGGTTTCCTCGTCCTTTAGACTTGACTTTGCTTTAAAAGCAYATGTAGATCGGTACTTTGACATAGTAGATTTCAACTTCAATGAAATGGATGAGTGCCCCCTTAAGAACAATTAAGTTTGATCCAATTTGCCAGCGGTAATTAAATGATCAAATCCATCCAAAGAAGACAGTAGCTCATCTCCTAATATGAGCCCATTTGCGTTTCCAGATCTGATTCTCAAAGAGGAACAAATCCTTTATCGATGAATTCTTTGCTGAAAGTGACATGCTGTGACATCTACTTTTGTGTAAGCCTGTATAACTTCCTTGTATCCATAGTAACAGGGTCATATTTGCCGTCATTTGTACATAATGGCAGYGAGATTGACACGCTTCGTATCACGGCATTGTTTTTTGACTTAAACATATCAACAAGAGTAGTAGGCAGTTCAGTGATACGATATCTGAATCGTCTGTCGAGAGATCGTTGATGTAAATCGTCTGTGTCACTTTAGGGTCAAAGCCACCTTAATAATATAAAGTGGAGTTACACAGGCACAGATCATGAATAAATACCATTAAACTAGCAGTTGAACGTTTGTGACAAAAKCAATCAAAGGAATAATTAACAGTTTATTGGCACATATAGCGGTATTGATTTATTGCAAGATGGAAATGTAGGAATACGGAATCGATGATAAGTGTGGACACTGGACGTTCAGAGTGATGATGATTATCAACGCAATGAATGGCAAGAAACTACTTTTAGGCAGGCGTTTTTTGCTAGAAAGAGTCGAATGAAGTAGATGGACGCGTGGATTGTGGATACAGGACGGTATGGATCTGATCCGAAGTACGTTTGGGCTTTCTTTGCCGAGACGTGGTATACGATTTCTTCTTTCGCTCCCCCCTGCGATTCGTCTTCGTCCGCCTGATTTTCAGACGGGACTGGGTCCGATGGATGTCAACTTTTGCGCATGCGATATCATCGCACAGCGGTGATTAGAATGAGTGTTATAATCAAAATGGCGGAGCACATGGTCATTTTCWAAGTTACTTAATATTTCGGTTTTCTTCTGAGATTACCAAATGCTATCTTCTCTGTACTACYTCCGKCTTGGTTCCCGAGSTGTYCGGTCATGGCAGAGKTTATCTCGRGGTTCATTGAACTCGGTTCGCTRGTGTAGGTGCTTGACAACCACTCGCCATTTTCACCAAGAAGACGAGACTTTGATGTCAAATGTAACTAAAAAGYCCTCTCTTGCTAGCAATATTTCARCAGAAAGCGAGTATTTACCAAAAGGTGATAGCCCTGCAGTGGATAAACGCGGGACAATCGATGWAATACCTAAGGTTTTAGAAGAATTCTTCCACAWGGCGAGGTGTSAAGGATGTGGAACAGTWTTCCAAAGCGAGGAACGTCAAAYACCAGGGTTTGTCATCGCAGCTAAAAACCCTTCTTTGCAAGACGCTCAGAAKGATGTGAACTCTCTAAAGCCTGTCCTTTGTGAGCGTTGTTTTAACATAAAGAATTACAATAAAGGTAGCCAAGTTCTTGTCTCTCCAGWCGAAGTGTGTGAATTCCTAGGCCACATAGCTCAAAGGAAAGCTCTAATTTTATATGTTGTTGATATTTTGGATTTACCTGGAAGCATGGTGCCAGGTTTATTGGATATCATAGGACCAACAAACAGAATTATTGTAGTAGCAAATAAGCTAGACAAACTTCCTGCTGAKGGTAAAGCAACAGCGCAATATGAAAAATTGCATTCCTACGTMAGGGATCAATGCCATCAACATGGACTAAAACAGGCCAATATTAAAGATGTGTGTTTGATAAGTGCAAAGAAAGGTTTTGGAATACCACAGTTAGTTAACCAAATTCTCAAGCATTGGCATAAGATGGGAGATATATACCTCGTAGGGTCTAATAACACTGGCAAAACTAGCCTGTTTAATACTCTCATTGACCTTACCAATGTCCATAAGAATAGTGACATGCTTCATAGGGCTGTAGTTTCAAGGTTACCTGGTACTACCTTAAGTTTGCTACGGATGCCATGTAGTTATTGGAAATTGACAAAGTTGAAGTATCGATTACTTGAAGGCACTGAAAAGGTAGAGTTATTGGTGCACTTACCTTCCTTCCTTCCTTCCTTCCTTCCTTCCTTCCTTCCTTCCTTCCTTCCTTCCTTCCTTCCTTCCTTCCTTCCTTCCTTCCTTTTCTTACATATCTGCCTTCTTCCTTTCTTTCTTGCATCCCTGCCTCCCTCCTTCTTTCCTCCCTTCCTTAATTCATTCTCTCCTTCCTTCCTTCCACTCATTAATCTATCCATCCTTCAAACAATTAATTAGTGTAATAAATTTTCATAATTGAAATAATCATGCAATGAAGAGAAGTTGTATATTATTTTGTAATGCACTCTCCTAATTACTCAGACCTAATCAAAATATTATTTTGTAATGCACTCTCATAATTACTCAGACCTAATCAAAATATTTTTAGTATAAACAAGCTCTTGCTGCTAAGGAAGAATACGATATTGATCCAGAGATCATAGACAAAGAAGAGACGTCTTATAAAGATTTGAAATCCGTGAGAAAAACTCTGGCTACCACTGAGAGCCAAGAAAGTAAGATAGATATTATCAAACCTGAAATAGTAAGCAGTATTCCTGAAGAGAAGCAACAGTTTTGGTTATATGATACACCTGGTATATTAAACCAGAATCAGGTTTGTAATCACTAATATTTTGTTATTATTAGCTGTTACAATCATTATTGTACATTCAATCCATCCATCAATCAGTCAATCAATCAATCAGTCAGTCAGTCTGTCAGTCAGTCAGTCAGTCAGTCAGTCAGTCAATCAACTGTTGAGCAATTGTATAGTGAAGGATTGAACATCTGTGACCATTATTTTGTCACTGGCATTTCAGGTGACCAATTACTTGACTATGGAAGAGTTAAAACTACTGCATTCCAACCTCTCGATAATTCCCAAGACCTATGTGCTTAAGCCAGGCCAGGCATTCTTTCTGGGAGGTCTTGCCAGGATAGATTACAACAATGTGAGTATGATTTGTTTAACAATGTAACAGTATTTCAGTAACATTAAAATCTGTAATACTCGTGTGTCTTTAGATTACAAGAATGCCTCGACAACATGAAGCACCCGATAAAGAAACATTGACTGAGGTAAAAAGAAGCAATGTGTTTCTATTAACATCTTACAATGGTGGACATGAATAATGTATTTTAGCTTGTGTTAAAAATGGAGTATGTACTCTTTAAAATATCTCTGCATCTGCACTCCCCCCCTCCCCCCTCCCCTCCCTCCTCAATGCAATGTTGATAGTCTTAACTGAAAAAGATGAAGGTAAAAAACGATCACTCTTACTCAGGGAAAGGGGGGTTAAGAAAGGGGAAAAGAGAGTGCCTCAGATATACAATTTTGGTTCTTTTGAAAATAGTATATGTAGATACCCGTTGTTATAATCAACATCATTATGTTCTTTCAGGCCAACAAGTCRGTATATTTTACCATCTTCTCATCTCCAAACCTTCCCATCCACGTACTGAACATTGATAAAGCCACAGAGTTTTACAATAAACGTGCTGGACAAGATCTTTTAAAGGTAAAAATATCTTCACCTTGAGTGATTCTAAGGTATTTTTAACCAAGAGTATGATACAACATTTGAATTTCAGGTCCCTAMTGGTGGCTCTAATAGAATGGAATCATTTCCTGCTCTACAAGGGCYTGACTTTAKTGTAACTGGTATTGGRTGGAAAGAGAGTGCTGCAGACATTGTMTTGTCRGATATTGGCTGGGTTTCTGTGACAGCAGGCCAAAAAGCAGATGTYCAAATTWCYGCGTACACACCTAATGSTGTAGGAATGGTATTGAGGGAACCCGCACTTCTGCCAAATAGRGTTAAGCAGAAAGGTATTTGGTATTATAAAATAATTACATACTAGTAGCATAGAGAACAATATTAAAACGATTCTGATGATAGGAGCAACATTGACAACAACAACATTGACAACACCAACATTGACAACAGCAACCTTGGCAACAACAACATTGACAACAACAACAACATTGACAACAGCAACAACCTTGGCAACAACAACATTACAACAGCAACAAATTTGGTAACAACATGGACGACACCAACATTGACACCAACATCATTGACAACAAGAACAACATTGACAACAGTATAATTAACTACAGGTATGACAACATTAACAACACTATGTCTATAAAATTATTTTGGGAACTGCAATCTTTACAATCATCTCATATTTATAGATACAAATAAAAACAGGCCAAAAAAAGCAACAGCATTTAACTGGATAACAACTTAGAAACAAAAAATAAACGATGGTAAATTGTTCATTTGTAGGTAAAAGAGGWGTTCGTTACCAGGGTCACATCGACTACAGTGGTTACGAAACGCCGCGCAAATCCAACCCACCACTCATCGATTTCTTGAGTGAAGGACAAKAGGGCGTTTATCAGTGGTATCGTGAAGTGAAGCGAAAGATCAAGCAGCAAGAAGCTCTCATAAAAGCTGAAAAAATGATGAAAGTAATCGAGAAAAGTCTCACTGAGGGAGATAACTTTCGCCMTGACCGCGTATCTGGACGCGATAAACGTAGACAAAAAACTGATTTGATAAAATAGTTATTTCTCAGTACTGTTCATCGTGGGGTAATTGCACATTTTTGAAGAAAGTAAAAAAAACTAAGAAAAGTTTTGCTTGTGGATTCTTTGAATTATTCTACAGGAAGGAATGGAATTGGGAAAGGAAGAGAGGAGAGAAGGTAGAAACTAATGGCAACAAGGAAAAACCCAAGGAAATGAATGGTGGAACTCGAAAATGAGTGAAAAATTTATGGGAATTCGTGAGAAAACGGGAAAAACGAAAGGAAACGTACGGAATAGTATTTGATTGGCCGTTGAATACTTTTGGCGCGCACATTTACAACTTTTAAATCAAATGCGAGATTGATTGACAACCTAATTGTAGATCACAGGCCCATTCGTTAAGAAAAATTGCGTTTGTACTGGGCTACCTATGGCTAGCACCCAGTACCTCTCACAGCAAGTGATTGTTGTGGCGGGTGGCATTGTTAGTGGATATAGAAAAATGACGACAGGTTCTCTAGACTCGCTTAGATCAATTATTCAATCACAAAGAACAATGTAGGTAAAAACGTGCTTTGTATTTACTTCGAAAATCATAAGCAAAAGAACARTGGACCCAGGGAACAAATCGAAAACTTGATCAATGGAAAATTACATACTATGACAAAAGCCTTTTAATCTCTACTATTCGGTAAGTGGTTTTAAATTAAGTTAAAAATGTGAGATTCTCGAGAGCATGGTCACTATGGACAGACGAAGCGAAACTGCTTCATTACGTGAAACACTGGAAAGAGCCGAGGGAATTTTTTCTTGCGCAAATGGGTGTTTCGTATTCCAGTTATCTCCYACCTGAGTCATGCTATGTTTAAAGGTTCAGTTTTCAATAAATAAGATAAACAAAAAGCGAGACTATTTCCGAGATATTTCCCACCTATGTACATATATATATAGCAGCTGATTACACCGACAAGCCATTGAGACTAAACAGACTTTTGACCTCCTGAGTTTAGTATCAACGGGATGTCGAACTTCTCTGGTGATRACATAGGATATACTCCGCGGATTCATCCTCTTGTGACAAGCTCTCCGTTCTGTCACATGGTGAGTTATTTTTGCACAAGAAAACACAAAATTAACAATAACAAAGAACTGGAGTTTCACGCAATATATATGAAACAATATGGCTATCCCATCCGAAGAAAGTCGGTTATGCATCATTCCCGCCAGCCACAGAAGGAGATCTAGTTTCCAGGTAATTGTCCAGAGACGTGATGGTTATGTTTTTTCGCTTGTCATACCATTTTTGGACCTAAAGTTGGTACCTTACCAAAAATTATCTTCCAAATAKCTGATCCTTTAGAATTGTGTGTTTAAAGCTGATCCTCTATCCTGTTCTCAAAGATAAAATCGTGACTCATTAACGCTGATCCATGATTTCATATACAATGTCACCACATGCTTTTCACTGCATAGAAGTTCGGTTGTCGCGCATATAGGTGCGTGTGATGCCTCATTAAACAGGGATCACTATAAAACCCGTACCAAACCGTATTCTCTCCGCAATCAAAATTGCAAATAGTTTTGATGCAATGGTATGCATTTTTCATGTTCAGGAGGCAATTTCAAATAATCTCAGTTGAGCTCCTCAAGTGAATAGTCATGAACTCTTCAGAAATGGTTTCCAGCAACCCAACCATCGTTATTGCTGATTCCAAAAAAGGAGATTTGGTTACAAAGAAATCAAAGGTGCGTTCTAGTTGAATATTTTGCATTATTGCTCGTTTGCAATCTTTAGTTCTCTAACCATGGAGGCCATAGTACCGTTGTCAGGTTGTCAATGTGTTACCAGTGTAATGTGGCTACCAAAATGTGGTGCGGCTTGGCTTGCTCAATGAGAACACCCAAATCCCCAAATGGTAGAACGTACAAGGATCTTTATTCGTCGTTAAACTTAGTACAAAGCGTACAGAACTCGGAGTAAAGTATAAGCGAYTAGAATAGAGCAAAGGGTGGCTTCTTATACGAGCAAACTTGCTAAACTGGTTATTCTAAATGTCGTCATGATTATGTTGAATATTCATTATCTGGTCATAACTTATTGACTTATGAACTCTTAGTCAAAAGAAACTCTTTGTTGGATGGATTAACTTACGAAGCGTCGATGACAATGTCTCAAGTATTGATTTTTTTAAACAAACTGAGTGATAAGACTATAAGTCTTATTCAGCAAAAGATAGATAAATTCTGACTCAAAGTTCGTGGCAAACAAAACATAATTGATAGAAAATGTCCTACTGCTCATGCGTTAATCACTGGTCAAAAACTGATTTTTACAAGTACGATTGATCAATAAGATTCAATTAGAGTGCTGAGCTAAGGTGTTATACAAGGTCAACAAATAACGAACTATTGAAAATAATTAAGTTCTTACTGGKTGATTGTTGTTGTCATGACAACTAGAATAATTTAGTTCATTTGAGTTGAAATATTCGAAGACTGTTTCGAGCCCCTTTACCCCAGCCTAGTCCCCTGGCGTTTCTCGCTATTTACATGACGTCAAAGTTACGCCACAAAGTTACGCTACCCGTCCTTGAGTAGAACACCTCGTGACTATGCTAAATGTGTACCTTATGTGAATATGAGGACCGCATGGCACTATATAAACATGATAGAGAAATAAAGGAAACGAATAGTGCTTAGAAGGAGGATATTCGAGGAAAAAGACCATTGGAAATTATTTTTTGGAAAAATTAATTTCCGACCTAGTTTTTCCGAATTAATTTACTTTCTCCCGGAATAGCCTCCTTCTAAGCARTATTCCTTTCCTTTATTTCTATATATAAATATGTACCTGTTTTTCCACAGTGTCTTCCCATCATGGGAACTGTCCTCAAACTATTCGTCTTGTCGCTGATGGTCTTTACTGCGCTGTTTGTAATTCGCGTCAACCGTCCAAAGTATGATTCTGTACTGAGATTCCGAAGTCTTTTAGCGCCACCACCTCGTGATGATGCACTRTATGATTACGATATGGATGAGGAGCACGGTAAGAGTTGTACAGCATCTTCCACCTCTCTCTCCCCTCCCCTCTTATAAACCCCACTCCCATGCCCCCACCCCCTCTCTCATAAACCCCTCTCCCCATTTCAAATACAAACAACATCGTCTCGCAACTGTTGCAGAAACACATGTTGGTTTTTGTGACGGAGGGACTCGTGGGGCCTCTCGTCACTATGTATGTCATCATGTTGAGTGACCGAACCGTAACCATCCACTTGTAGCAGGCGTTCCTTGCGAGTCCTTGATATGTTAAGTTGAAAAGAAAAAATCTGTAGAGAAAAAAAAACGAAGTAACAACAGCAAAGAAAACAAAAAAAGAGAAGAAAACAAAAAAAGAAAGAAAGAAGAAAAGAAAACAAGAAACAAACGAAAAAGAAACAAGCGAAAAAAGAGAAATTCCAGAAGCAGGACTCGAACTCAGGACTTTCACTTCAAGAGAGGATGTACCCCCCCTGAATACATAAGAAATAATGAAAAAAAAAACCTAAAAAGGTGGGACGATTCCCCCGAGACATTCTATGAAGCTGAGGCGTCGAATCGGTTTACGTTACGGTTAGAGATTTCGGCTCTTCCACGCTATCCCGAGTGAACATAAAACTTAGTCTTAACCAAAAGGCCAGGGAGTGAGGGGGTAGCCGCCCACTAGAGCATACCTTTAGCTACCCTCTTAGACCATCGTARTATGAGGACACTTATAGATATCTAATATCTAATGGGGGTAGTCTATTCGGTGAAGTTCTATGCTAATATATGACGTCACTAAAATCCTTAGGGATCAGCGAGCCAATCAGAGCTCAGCTCGGGAATTAGCAGGCTTTTCATAATCATTCTTCAGTGATTTTTTATTTGATAGGGGGTGGGGTGGGTGCCGAGTGATGGTTTGCGGCCGAATGCCGATGTTCGATGTAGTATGACGGCTTTCACCAAGCTGTTATTGTTTTCCAAATCATCACTCATCCAAATTAGGTGTACAGTTCTTATATCAGACAGACATTATTAGTATTCGGATAAACACCACGGCACAAATCTCTTTGAAATTCTTAACCGTAAGCGGTTTACAAACCAGGCAGATATTTGCTGGAATTGAACAGAACACAATTAAAGACACATTTTCGTTCTTGATCATATAAAAGTTTACGCATTATTGAATTAGATATAGTGAATGTCAACATTTTAAGAGGATGATGAATGATAATCCGTAGATAAAATTGATGAAGAAATCAAGGAAGACTTAGCAAGCTTACGCTTCTTACTAATCAGGCGAATGATAGTAATTTTAAAACATGGATGTAAAAATGCAGTTTCGATAATAAAAACATTTTATCGAAGAAAACGTTCGAGAGTCAACAAATACAYAAAGATGCCTTTAATTACAGCAAAATTAAAGCTCTAAGGACCGCTCTCCATGTCGTGGATAAAAATCCCTTTTCCGAATCTTTCAGATGGATATGTTACAGTAGGCAGGGAAACAGCTAGGGCGCCCCGCGTCAGGCCCCACGGGAGGAATGATCAACCARCACAATAGGTTCCTTGGCCCCTGGGAATTGCTGGCTCTTGTGTATTTATAGCCAACGTAATGGTTGATCGCCACGTGATGCTTGCAGTTCCTTGCAGCGTATACAGATAATTCAGAAAACGTTGTATACTGAAGATAGTGTATTCGAAGTTTACTAAATCTCTTAATGGTCTGAGTCCCATGCAGCTGTTCTCGACTGCCTATTTTTGTGTTAGTTGAAACGGAGTCAACAGTTAGAGTTGTACCGTCTTCTATCTCAAGGGGAGCCCTTTCCTTCACTCCACTAAGCCCCCAACCCTCCCCCCAACCCTTCTGATACAAAAAATAGCTACAGCATACTTATGCTTATTAACCACAATGTTGATTACCGATTTAGTCAGAAGCAGAATTAGAAGCATCATTTCAAATTTATGAATAGCAAAACGTAGTTGGAACTGCTTGAAATTGAAATTTTAAACATGCTAAGAGACWAGTGGTTGCAGAGAGTATTATGTAACCACAACAAAGCAAGCGTTCCTTGTGTGAAAGGAGCGACCAGGACCCTCATTTTTTTCTATTCCACCATTTAAAACCTTCCTTTTCTGTCTTGCCTGTGTAACTAATGTGCCCCTATTGTTTATCAGATGCAACAGACGAGCCTCCCCCTGCCGCGTGGGGTCCATGGGGCAAGTGGAGTCGATGCAGTAGCGGTAAATACTGCGCTGAAGGAAGTCAGTTTCGCAAACGAAAATGTGTCACGTCGAATAACAATGGTTTCTGTACGGGAATATCGATGGAGTCTAGAGATTGTCCTGGATCCTCGTGTTCCCGCGATAACCGTACGTATTACGTAACTAAACGTGTTGGTTTTCAGCGTATCAGCTACGCTTTAGCGACAGTGACGCAGGGTGCAGGCATAAGCGACATGCCCTAGCTACCCCCTGAAGAAAGCACTATATCAGTGCTAAATTAATTAGTACAGGGAGCACCTTACATTAATCTGCTATTATACAAGAAGTCATACAGTGATTTTTATAGCCAATGTGATATAGTTTAATTCTGTTTAATACACCATAAAGAAGAATTAAGGATGCGAACCAAGTGTCAGATTTAAACGGGTAAATGAAAGCATTCCCATCATTTAACTGGATTCAATCTCTTACAGATCGCACACCTGGTCTAGCTGACGAGTCTCCTGCTCCAGAAACATCMTTCATTGGTCAAGAGTGTAACTCATCAACCAAATATTTCGCTCGAGGTAAAGAGGCAGACAAAATTCCAGAGGAAGTCTTTCATTTATTTCCCGCTGCTAAAAGACTTTTCACTAGTGGATTCTTCGCTGTTCAAGAAATCCCTAAAGTTCTTCCTAGAGAAGATAACATTACAAAGGTAMTGACTATTTTCTTTATTTTATATTTTTATGTCCTGTAATTTAATGATATTTATTAACCGAGCGCAAGGACTGAATATTGACTCGTTTATATTTTTTTAAGATATGCTTTGAGCCTCTTGGTCTATGGAACATACGGTCKATAAGGAAAGCACTACATTTGAATCGATACACTAAAGCATCGATCAAGAATTTGAACTCTAAGCACTTATTGGGTATTGCAATAGGCTTGAAACTCGACGGAACACTATATGCAGTGCAATTAGCCATCGGGACACCCGGGGCAATGTACAGTACCCTGTACTACCGGAGATTTCGAGGACGAAGCTTCCATGAAGACTATGTGACATACTAGTGGTATAGGGAGGAGCTTTTACCCTTTCTCGAGTAGGTTCACCCAGAGCATGTTTTAATGCCCTGTACTACCGGAGAATTGAGACGAGGACTGTCATTTATAAGTAGGGCATGAACTTACACCGATAGTTATAAAGCACCCTGGACTACCGGGGATTCAAAGGGAAACTTTCATGAAGATAGCGTGGCTTGTACTGACGAATCAATGAGTTCAATTGGAACATGAACTTACACTGATCGTTATAAAGCACCCTGGACTACCGGGGATTCAAAGGGAAACTTTCATGAAGATAGCGTGGCTTGTACTGACGAATCAATGAGTTCAATTGGCCTATCAATCTTGCCCCACTCTCCCTATACCTTTCCCTTTGTTTTGGTTCAGGAAGGGCTTAGGACGAGGTTGGTGCCCTGTTAGTTACAGAGGAAGTATGCAACACTAGTCATTGTAAACCAGGTTTTTGATATTGGATACCTAATGATAGTAAATAATATGGGTTTTGGGAAGAGGGAGGCCGACTACTGATTTAAATACCTTTTATAATACTTTGGTAGCTTGTTTATTAATAAACGTTTGTRATAAATTTGCTGAATTGCATCTTAAATTATTCGAGTATTTTGGGCTATTTAGATATAGGCCGGGGTGGCTATAATCGTACTAACCATGGTAAAACGCTCTGAGAAATATGCGAAGTGTTTTTTTTAATTTTATATGAAATAACAATTTCGTTCTCCTAAACTGTAAAGCAAAAATTCGGAGCCGATCGTCACGCTAAGTGCGACAAGAAACCAAAAGATGCTCGAAATAGAACGTTACAATATTAATCGAAATCTTTTTTTAGATTGCTAATAAAGTTATAAAAGATCTTTCCTTACTTAGATACTATATTTTTGAGATTTTTTTGTACATTTCAAAACTCCCGCTCATTTAGTCGATCGTCACGCTAAGTGCGACAAGAAACCAAAAGATGCCCGAAAAAGAACGTTATAATATGAATCGAAATCTTTTTTTAGATTGCTAATAAAGTTATAAAAGATATTTCCTTACTTTGATACTATTTTTATTTTATTTTTTATTTTTGTACATTTTAAAACTCCCGCTCATTTGGTGCATCAAAGACCTTAATTGAGCGGGAGCCGATCGTCACGCTAAGTGTGGCATTGATGCACTGAACAATCATCGAGAGGCACACTCACCGACGTACTGAGACATTTAGACATTGTGGCATTCAAACACTGAGATACTGTCAGATGCAATGTGACATTCAACGCAATCCATGAAGCAATGAGGCATCTGAAGCGCGTATTGCCGCAAATAGGAGGAAACTAAGGCAACATTGTAGCCGGCACTGATGTAACTAGGCACTTAAGAAACTGAGTTACGGAAGATGTCGGTATGGAAGCATTTGAGCGACGGATACACTGAAACAACTAAACAATGACCAGTACAATCCTCAGAAACATGAACAAGTTGCAGAGGATTACCCCTGGGTACCCGAGGATGGGATGCGATGATCTTGACACGGTAGAAGACTGGTGACAGGTGGAAAGAGAAAACAAATATGGCGGCTGCCTCTCCAGTGTTGGACGATCTCATCAAAGAATACTTACTGTTTAGAGGTTTTACATCTACCTTGAAAGCTTTCGAAAATGACATCAAAGGAGATAAGGATAAGAGCTTTAAGGTGAGAGATATTAGGAAGTATTTTGAACTCTTTATGGTGTAAAAAGCTAGCTGACATTTGAAACTTCGCGCGWTGTGACACYGATCGGAATATTCTTCCTTGTACGTAATTTCATGCAGTTTTTCCCTTGATTTGCCCTTTCTTTGGATATTTTATATCCTTTTAAGTGTTACGTTATACTTGATTCGMGCAATTTTTCAGTCATGTTATATTTTCATTAGTTTTCACTTATTATAACTTAAAATAGTAACTTGATGKGACAGCTGTCTCTATTTTTGGCATTTTGACTTTCGATTCAGCAGAGCAAATTCCTGAACAGGGACTTTGATCCTCCGGATGACAGCCCATGTGATTATTCTCTTATTGAATATTTTCTTAAATCGTTGTGGATGTATGTGGAAAATGATTCATTTCAAATGTATTGCTGTCACAACAAAATACAGTTTAGTCCAGGCAGTACTKGATTCTACAGTTGCTAGTGACATGTTGAAAGATAGCTGAGCAGGCCCATAAGCCGGGGGGAGGGGGAGGGGGGGCAAAGACATGGTTTCAGTTCAATGAATTTTAAAACTAAAAGACAACTTCCGAAGATTAATTCAATAAATTTTATTAACTTTCTTATGGTTTTGTTGTATATAACAACTCATGTCACTTTCTAATTGTTCATTATATTTCAGGTTAACAGAATCATGGACCAGTTAATTTCATATATAGCCACATATGACATATCGTCTTTACGAGAGTACTGGGAACACTTAGATAAGAGATTTTTCAAAAGACTTGATCATCAACATTATATTAATGTGAGGAAATTAGAGACTTGTTTATTGCGGCTTTATGTAGTCCATGCCCTTCAGAACTCAAAGCAGGACAAAGTCAGTGAGTTTTTTGAGAAGTTTGTATCAGAACTTCAGCCTCAAAGTGATTGGAGAGAGTGGTTTGGTAGGTTTAAGTATTTCATGTTAAAATATAATTGGGACATTAAGATGCACTGTTTCTGTCTACAGATATGGGTAGGCAAACATACTGTCTTGCAATACAGTTTATGCAAAAGGTGTTTCTGTTCTGTAAATGTAGCTGTTCCTTAGACTTTCGCAAAGTCAGTTTTTGACTRGTTCCGTATCGCCTCTCGCGCTCCACGCTCAATATTCACCCATTCCTGGGAGTAAAAGAGAGTCTGACTTGGGCAAGTCTACTGTTTCTCTGTAGTCTGCATAGTGGTCCTCTTGGGATCCCTGTGGACATGGATTGAGGTCTTCCCAAAGGAGGCTTAGTATTATGCAGGCTATTTTTCTTGGGAAGAGCCAGTCTATCTATACTGATGACTAGTATTATGGCTTTCCTTTTCTAGTACACAGATGCATTACATCTCAATGTCTTTAATATAAAACCTATATCCCCCTGACATGCACACCTTTAATTGTTCATGATACATAGTAAAACAAACCTTTTCCATGAAGTCAGCAATGTTGAAGCTGTATTTTTATATTCTATTTTAACTTTATATTTTCTTTTTTTTGTACTTTTCTCTAGCCATTGCTTTTATCAAGAATCCAGAACAGAACACAACTTTTGAAATGTACTTTCAGAAGTCGTGGCAAGAAACGTTTTATTTATCACTTCATAATTTCCTTGTTACTGTTTTTTATCTCTTACGTATCCTTTTGAACAATGCGTCATAAATGATTTATCTCAAGCTGTCTGTGAAAAGCTAATTATTAGAATTGGCTCAGGACTTGAAATGTGTAGCGCCGTGCCATCCGTTGGAATATTCAAATCTAATGTGCATCTTATTTCCTTATTTGGAGCAATTCAATATACCCTAGCCAACCAGAACGGGCCTTATATCTTTTATCCAACAGCTGAATTGTCCAAATATGGTCATAATGTTCGTTTTCAAGTATTCCAATGCTTGGTACTAAAGAAATGTACGGCACTACACGTTTCAAGTCCCTTATAGATTTCTGATTGCAATGTATTTTATATGAGAACATTGCCAATTCTCTCTTGCTAGTGCTGAATTATTATTAAAATGTGTACCTGTGCACATAACATGTACTACAGTATGTGATACTCTAGAGTTCATGATTTTTCATTCGCCTTAACTATACTCAGCGATGCCCACACTTCTGCATTATGATAAAGAACGAGGAATTCAACAGAAGCTAGAAGAACAAGTCACTAAGCTCAAGCAACAAGTAGTAGATTTGGCTGATCAGATAAATGACTTACAGAGAAAGAACTCAAAYCTAACTGCTGATTTAGATGATAAGAAAATTCTGGCTGGAGAAATCRTGAATGAGAATGATGATGAAGAATTTTGTGTAGTCCAAAAGTAAGAATTTATTAGATAATAATTATTGATCCCATAGAGAGTAAGTTAGTATTTTTACTGCAAGCCATTTGTATCATGAAATGGGCCTGCAGTCCAATGTATTCCAAGAAATATTTTTTGTGTGTGTGTGAATTAAGCTGCCTACAGATTTTCCCTTGTTTGATTATCATGCACCTTTGATACTTCAGTTGTCATGGGCCAGCTTTTCTTGAAGCAATATTATATAGTTTAAKTCTCTTTTTGGTTGCATTGTTACATTTAAAGGCCAAAGTCAGTCTTTCAACAAATCTCCAAAGCCTTTCCCAAGAAACCAAAAGAGAAAGATAAGATCAAAAAGAATACAAAGCTTCAAAGYCAACCTGAAGTGAATAATATAACAAAAATAACCCAGAAYCCACCGGTGATTAAAGAAGACATTTTACAGGTAGAATGGAAAGCCCTGTTCAACAGTCTCCTTCACGGTTCCCTGCGCCATATTAAAATGTAGCCATGCCTTTGCATCAAAGCAAGAAGACCATTGAGCGTGTAATGATAGAAACCTTTTTTCACACCTAAAGACAATATTTCATGGGTTTTTATCACTGCGATACAAAGTCATGGCTTTCTTTCAAGATGGCGCTGGGAATCCATGAAGGAGACTAATTGAGACTGCAAATCTGCGCAACCTCGAAATGCAAGTAATTGCAATTGTGTGTTGGAATAAGAAAAAAAAGTTGTGCAAGTTCTTGAGATTTAAAAGGCACTATTTTAATACTTAAAAAATTGTAATGTCAAGCTTCTGCAAGTTTGTATAAGTAGTCTTGCTTTTAATTTAATTAATGTCTAATTTAATTATTACAGGAAATCCATGAAAAAGAAAGATTACATGTAATAAGTGACACCGAAGAMGAACAAAAAACTARTGTACAATCCACTCCAMCCCAATCATCACCAAAAGAACCTGAAAACRTATCTAAAACACGCTCCAATGAARCAGCACATCTTGTCAAGTCACTGAGTTTAGACTCTTCAGAGAAATTCTACAGCAAAGATGACAGTGAAAGTTCATTAAAAAGAACAAGTACAGTGCCAAGAACAAGTACAGTGCCAAGAACTGCTGGTCGATCTACTCTGCCAAGAGATAATAAACTGGATGAGTGGCTTCAGCCAAAGATTGTTCGTTTTGATACAGGCATGAGTTGTAATTTTCAATGATTTTAAGCTGTTCTTTCCTTCTTTCACTTTCATTCTTTATTCACGTTATTCATTAATTTATCTTTTTAGATGTTGATCAGCCAAAACCTTTCATACACCTTGGACAGGTCAGTTAAAGATATCATATGTAAATACAATTGAATAATAATCAACATTTTTTCATATAATTATATTTCCTCCAGGAGGAATACAAGGAGCATCATTCAGGGGTGGTTCACTGRCGTTTCTCATCAAGTGGAAGGGTGATAGCTAGTTCAGATGCTGATGGAATTGTCAAGTAGGTATTCAAACAACTAACATACTTTTTATAACTTAATATGAAGTATAGTTTATGACATGAGTGGCAGTGTTGTATGGGAATTACAATCTCGAGGTCCAATTCGGGACAATTGAGAAATCACACAGGGTGTAGCTGGAAATATTATTGAGAAGCCATTTGTTGGCTTTGGTTTGGCTGAATGCAAGCTACAAAGCATGCAGCACATTGGCAATTGTCTGACAATCTATTGATCAGTGGCATTCAAGAAAGCAAATGCACGCAGACAGGGTTTCAATTTTGACTCTACCTAAATTGGATTTGTGTCTTGCCAYTAACAAGTTAGAGTCAGATGTAAATATACACAAGTAGTTTAATATATTATAGCATAAATAAGACCAACATCTTGACAATTTGACAATGTTTTAATCTTTATCCAGAGTGTGGACAAACCATCCTGACATCAATACATGTGCGACACTTATGTCCAAGTCACCTCTTCTGTCCTTGGAATGGGCTTCTAAACCAGAAAGACTTGTAAGTTTGTTGTCATTCAGTAAAGAGATAGATAGATAATGAAATATTCAATGGGATTTGGATAAAGCAATGACACTGTTCATGTTTTTTTTAATGTTTTTTCATGTTTTTTTACAGCTGCTTTTGGGCACAGGTCATGGTAAAGTTCGTTTTTATGATACAGATCACAAGAAGACCATATGTGACGTTTCAACAGAATCACTTTATCCAAGGTATATTTGCTTCTTAGTTGCTAAATATTAAGTCATTTAGAGATGTATGTTTTATTCATCCATTTCATCACTTGTCAATCAATCCTTTATTTTAYATATTAAGCGACAGATTTGAGTTCATTACAAGACATGTTTCGGCATCTTTTTTTCGTTTTTCTCTTAGTTATTTCTTCCCTAAATGCGCTAAATAATTCATTTGTTCTCTCATTCTTTTGGTCTTTTATTTGTTCATTCATTTGTTCATCCAAACATTCATCCATTTTTTCCTTTCCGTTGKSCAACTACMCACCKTTRTGTCTTCTCTATAAAATTTCCATTGCTGCACCAGTCTAATGRTAAAATTTTTCTCTACAGGGTAGTCTCGTTATCTTGTAGTCCTACAGGTACAGCATTTGTTTGTTCAGCTGCAACYAGCAAGAAAAGTTCCAAAAGCCTAAAAACCCGACCCGGTGATATCTCAGGAATATTAGCCAATGGAAAACCTTTAAATGAAGGAGTGCTGCAATGCTGGGATATGAAAGCAATGAAAGTAGAGGTGGGAATATCAGTGTATTTGGGCGCATTTAGTACTGGGTTACGTCCTTTTGAATACCGTTTTCGCAATAAGATATTCTAATATATCATTTCATTGTTACAGCGAAATTTACCCGTGGACCCTACCCCAGTGTGTATCAATTGTACAGCTTACAATCACAACGGGACACTCCTTGTCACTGGTGGCGCTGATGGAATGATAAGACTATTTGGTAAAGGACATGTTTCATGGAATAGATTTATTTTCAGCAAAAATCCTTGCTCATTGCTCG